CATTCTAGAAAAAAAAGATGTTCTTGTGACTTTAATTCATATTTTTTACTTTTGGCTACAAATTATTTCACTACAATTAATATCAGGTAGAGATAAGGCATAATGTTTTACAAAAAACTTGATGTTCATTTACAGGGTTCTAGAGTTCAAATAAATAAGATGTGAAAACTGTAACATGAAAAAAAAAGTATGTTTGATCTTAACACGAATATCTCATACATTTATCCATCACAAATTCGTAGAAAATTCTTTAGTAAAAATACTTTGACAAAAAAACAATAAAAAAACTTAAGTTTTGTGTAAATCAGATCTGTAATGTTTACTAAAAGTTAGCATACATGTAGCAAATTTGGAATTATAATAACCACTAATTCTCCAGGGCCATTCCAATGAACCAACCATGTGCACATAGGGTTTAGTCAATTTGATAGCAATATTTAAGTTAGCAAAGTTACACAATAAATCCCAGCTGCTGATAACAGAGACAACCATTAGGTTTAACACCATATACTACATTGGTACACCACTAAACATAACCTAACTTCGATGACTCCCTGATTATCTGACAATCAAGTTAGGGCCTACACCTCTATTCTGGTTGAAGCTCTTGGACCAAGACATAAACCTTAGATCTTTCCATTTGATTCCGTACACACATTCTGAGCAACAATGTCCCAGTAAGCACAAAAAAAAAAGGAATCCAAGTGACTAATCAAGAAAAAAAAAGGATATTCTGAAGAGAAACCACTATGACATGGAGGGAAAGGTTATCACTGTGCCCGAGAAACACAAAAACATTTCATTGAAATTAATACAGAACCTGAACAACGCACAACAAATATATCACAGATATTAGAAGCTTCAACTAATAGTCTTGATTCATGGTTTACTAGGGCTGTAATAAACTGTGGATTTTGACCTTTGAAGATTCGAACCTTCTATAGTACTGATATGCATACTTTACTGACGACGTCCCCGTAACTACTGGTTTATATTTGATTGAAAAACCCTTTTATTTTTCTGGTAATACATATAAACGAAATAAACAATTTACACAGTATAAAAAAATCTGTTATAAAGAAGAAGAATGTTTTCGTATTCAAAATAAAATCCTACATTATAAATATGCATCTGATGTTACTTTATTCAGGAGCTACATACAGTAAGCTTGCATTACAAGAACACCATATTTCAACCACTTAAAAGGACTGCAGCTGAATTATGCAAATCTTTGACGGTCATTATTTTAAACACTTTAGCAGTTATTCTTTTTAACATAAAACTGTTGATTAATTAGACATGTTTAATAAAAATGACAATCCAAAAATACAATAAAAGGAACTTTTACAGCCAGCAAGATCTGTTTTCAATGTTTTGACCTACAGTATCGGGTAGAAATTACATTGAAAAAGGCAGTTGAATTTCAAAGAACATTACAGTCTCATGATGGTGAGGTCAAGTTTGTAGGTGGTGTTAAATAACTTTTTTTTCAAAATGAAGTGGATAAAATATTAATATAGATATAGGGGAGTTCTTGGATATTTATATAGCATTAGCTTGATGAATACCAGTAGTGCTTTAGCTATCTTTCTTCTGTTGATGTCAACATTGTTTTCAATGATGTTTTTGTTTCTTTGATATGTTCAAAAACATGCAAGGGTCCTGTAAGATGTTCTTTAAGTCTCAGGATTATTTCTCTTTCAGTTTCTCCAATATAAAAGTATTTACATTAGCTGCATTTGATTTTGTTTGTAATTAAGCACAAAGCTACACAATGGGCTATCCGTGCTCTGCCCACCACGGGAATCAAAACCCGGATTCTAGCATTGCAAGTCTACAGACATACCGCTATGCCATTGGGGGGGGGCTTGCATTTGATATTGTAGATGTTCTTACTTTTATTGGAGTAATTGTAACTAATAAGGTTCTCGATTTTAATATCTGGCTTTTGTATGATTATGATATTTACATCAATGTTATGTTTCTTCAAGAAAAAGAAAGATTCTCATACCATATCAATAACATAATTCTGAACATTCATTTTGTAACTGAAAACACAGAAATTTCTCCATAAGCTATGTAAATGTTCACATCATAAGAAAACAATCATAAAGCAATTAACTCAAAAGAATACCTTAACTGGAAATTGCACACTTCATCGAACAGAAACTAAGAACCTTTAAGTGTACTATGCAAATAGAATTTAATATATTTCCCATGTGAGTGACAATATATATATGGTTACTGTTCAAACATTATCATGATGAGCTTTCAGATATTTAGAGCTATCTTTGGCTAGTGGATAAACCTTGGAATACAGTGTGTTGTTATTGTTTACACTTTAAAATTTTGTATTTTTTAAGTGTTTAAATACATGTACTTTTCAGCTTGTAACAATGTTCCAAAACAATGGCCTGCTTAAAATCAGGCAAGGTGATAGTACATCATTCAGCTCGCCAAATACTCACTTACACTCAGTGTGATACACAGCTCACCAAATACTCACTTTCATCCAGTGTGATACACATCTCCCCAAATTCTCACACCCAGTGTGATACAACCAATCTTTTACACCCACATGCTTAATAATCAACAAAATACAAATTCCAAATGAATTTATACCAACAACACACACACACCATTCAATTTTTATTGCTCTGAGTATTTGTTCTGTTTAAAAATAAACAAAACTTCCATACGAAGAATATTTAAGTCATTGCATTTCTTTCTTTAAACATATCAGTCAAGTATGATACTTCCAACATCAAATGAGTACTCAAAGTGTTTAAGGTGGGAAAAGGCTTTTCTGTTTAACATGTGAACACCTGCAATTCACCCTATTGCTGTGTAGTTCGGATGTATCCGAATTAAACATTATACCCACTGACTGTAATATTTGGATTTACTCCACAGCTACCAAAAAAAAAAAGGTTTCCCTCTACTGCAACATGCAGGAATATCCCCTTGTACTTGAAACAATTGCCAAACCTGCATGTGTGCTTCCATCTGTGTTCTATGCCATGAAACCTGGATGTTTATGTGTCTCATCACAAAACTGCCAACTTTGCAGGAACAGATACAGAATCTATATATCTTAGATATTGTTATCTAAATAATTTGTTTTATATTTTATAATGCCTCTTACTGACTTAGTTTTGCCTATATTTATACCATTTACTGGAGAACACTTTTTTTCTAATTTTACTCAAGTTTTTGTTTAAATCATTATTTTAAGTTTTTGTTTAAATCATTATTTTTCACTATCCAAGGAATATTACTGTCAGATATAGAAAATACAGCTTCCTTCAATGTTGAAAAAGTAATACAAAGGGTCAAATTTATACTTTTTTTTTTTTGGTGACTAACCAACACTTCTCGGGAATCAGCCTGAAAATTAATTGCACCGTGAAAGGTTTAAAGGGATAAAATGTAACACGGTACTTAAAATAATCATCACCAGTCTTATGCAAGGTTACAGTAACTTCACTCTTAATTCTAAAAAATGATTTCAAAGTAAGAGCTCTTTATATAATACACAGTCATCTGAATACTTCAAACTTAAAGCAGTATTCCATTTAATTTCTTTAAATTTAACATTTAAATACCAACCAGCTACTCTTATTTTACTCAATTCTCACTTGTAGGTGACAATTACAGAAACTAGACTGAACATTAACATAACCAAAATTACAAAGGGAATAGTCTCATCACCATTTCATTGCCTATTTCACTTGTTTCTGGTATATGGTTTTTGTTTGTACTTTGGAGTTCTTGTTTGTTTGTTATGAATGTCGTGCAAAGCTACACGACGGCTATCCGCACTAGCCGTCCCTAATTTAGTAATGTTAGACTAGAGGGAAGGCAACTAGTCGTCGCCACCTACCGCCAACTCTTGGACTACTCTTTTACCAACAAATAGTGGGATTGACCGTCCCATTATAACGACCCCACGGCTGAAAGGGCGAGCATGTTTGGTGTGACAGGGATTAGAACCCCCGTGACCCACACATTACGAGATGAGCTCACTAACAACCTGGCCATGCCGGGCCTTGGAGTTCTTGACACATACACACACACACATATATATATATATATATAAGCAGGTAAACTAATTCAAAGATGCTGCAACCCTTACAATTAAAATATTTCTGTCCACAAGTTCCATACTCAAATTCCTTTTTGTTTTTCCAAATCACATAGCATCAAAATCACATCATATGACATTCACATACAGCAGCTACACATACATAAAGGTAAAGTTAACATTTTAAACATCAACCTTCATGTCTATCCATAGAAAATTGTCTCAAACTATATATCATTATGTATATTATACAGTGTCATTAATAAAATAAGCCAACAAGTATTAAATAAACTAACTTACTAGCATGTGTGGCAGCATTATTGTACTGTAAAACTAAAGGTTTTAAGTGTAATAGGCCAGTACTGCTAATAGTAATACTAGCAAAAGGACTAGTCCTACTGTTAATCACACTAAATACATTTTAATAGCACTTATTTTAGCAGTAGCACTACTAAGCCTACAATAAACAACATTGAATGTATTTGTAACGTAGCAGTACTAAGTACTTTACCACTTACTAGTTCTAACAGTAACAGTATTACTATCAGTAATAATGTACAACTACAACAAATGTTTAATTGGAATCAGGATTGAAAGTTTAAAACTATTTATTTTAGTTATATGTACGAAAAGGCCGGGGACTATTTGTTCATTTTAAATATACTAAAAGAGAGCGTTAAACACATTTATTTTGCCAACACTAACATTAGTTAACACTCACTCACTAACACTAACAGCAAACTACTTATAACTATTATTATTAGTAGTACTGTGTTTCAGCACCACAATAACGTTAGCCTAGATTAGCTTACTTTAGTTTTATACTTATTCATTCTATTCTAAAGACTTGCAATTTCTACACTTTCAAAAGTTTCATATATCAGAAAATGCATTATTTGTGTGACAAATATATTACCAGTTGCAGATTATTCTACGATGAACTTTTATCTTCAGAAGTAAAAAAGAAAAGAAACTAACGTTACTTTTATTAGGCTAAAACAAAGTTAAGCTTAACAGATTCATCAAACCTATGGCTTGTATTAGAGATTAACATTGGTTGCATTCTTGACACAAAAGACACTCTACAATTTTTCGTCGTTTGAGAGTATGAACAGTCAACCCGAATATTGACTCTTCATACTCTCAAACCTGTGCATTTTGCTCATGAGAAATTAAATAAAAAGTGTAACTACGTATATTTGACTTTCCGGGACTTTGTGAAATTATATCAGCTGAATGGTAAAAACAAACAAACAACAACAAAAAAGTTAAAATTTAACCTCCACCTAAAAGAACAACGTCTTTACTCCATAAGCTCAACAAAAATGTTAAACCTGAAAGAGCACAGCTACAAATGACTTATAAACACAAATGAAAATTATATATCTCACAAGCCCAAGACCTGTAATAAAATATTACATTAGTTTATATGTTGTTAGCCATATTTTTAACATTTTGATTTAGATGTTTATTTGTTTGAGAATGGATAAAGCAATATCTACAAAGGTCACGAAAATTAAGATCTCTATAGAATCTAGAAATCTGTAGTATGTTAAAATAAGTGTGCGATATAAATACAAAGGATAAACGAATTAGTCAATCATTCAGTGAATAATTCATTGAGTTAACGAATGAATCAGTTCAATAATAGTCAGTGAATTATTCAGTTCTGTGATTCAGTTAGTAAGCTAAACAGTGAGTTAGCTAACCTGCTTGTTACCGATCAAATAGTGACAATAAATTTAACAATTTATTTGTGATTTAGGCGTATCATTAGTCTCATAATTGCCGTTCAAACGTCATTTGTGAAGTTAAGTTGTGATATGCAGGGATATCATATGTTTTCTGTCTGCATTAGTGATATAGAGATTTTTATAAAGTTTTTGCTTATTTAATTTCTGTGCTATAATGGCAGCAATACGTAGTTCAGAAAATCTTAACGATTACTTTATTGTATTGCTTCACTTCATTGTTCTCAACATAAAGCAATATCGTTTCTGCCCAAGAGGATATTGCAGTAGTATACAACATCCACGTTAAATTGATTGTTATTATAATATTCTTTGCTGGCAGATTATACATTGACTAAATGTTACAGATGACCAATTCTGAGAGAGGAAGAAAGATTATGAGGTGACATTGTTTACCTGTTGAATCTAGGTGTACTTTCTTAAGCTAGTTAAATAGGAGGTAATAGAGTAAATACTTTTTTAAATCATCATATTTAGTTCAACAGACGTATATCCCAAGAGAGAAAAAGCTATGAGACTAAGCACGGCCTAGTAAAAGTGACTCTGTATGTATATGTGTGTGTGTATATATATATATACAAGCACCAATGCTACATTTTCGTTTTATTTGGGTAACAATAAATATTGTTACGACAGCTGAAGTCACGTGACACTGCTAGTGCGTTTGGCGCTGGTAGTGTGCGTGAACTTTCTCGAATGATCATGAATGATCGGGGAGGCCCGAGTGTATTCGAGACGCCCTCTTCGTTAGTATATAAGCCTGGCAGAGAAGCCAGCGATAGATAAATAATTAAAGAAGCGAACAGTAGTTACGGTAAGTAAAGTGTGTGTTTTGCACTCGTAGAGAGCGAAGTTATCGAGATTGTGAATCACTGTGATTTATAGCGTGTGTTATAAAAGTTGTTAAGTTAAAGTGACGAGAAACGTATTGACTGTGGAATTATTATGTACTAAAAGTTTGTATCGATAAAGAATAAACTGGTTTAATCAAGAAAGGACTTGTATCGCTGAAGTTCCTGGGAAAGAATTTCTACCAGAAATTAACAAACAAGCAGATTCATAACAATATTGTTTTAATTTTTTCAACTTTGTCCTATCTCGTTATTTTACACACATGGAAAATACTGTTAAGTTAATTAACTGATCAGAATCACTCTCCCTATTTCCTGAACAAATCTATAGTTATTTGCAAATACGTCAACCTGATAGTTAACAGGAAATCAATAGTTTTTACCCGAAAATACCACAAGTAAATATGAAAGAGAAATTTTGGTGTCATACCATCAGGATTTATTCTGAAGGTTCTGAAACAATCACGTGTGTAATGACTCTTGCTTAATCTCCTGAGTTAATGGGTTTGAAGGAACACTTTGCATGAAAATATGAGCATTTTCTGTATGTATAAGAACTCACAACCAGAGTGAGAATTCACTAGCAGAGAGATATGGTTGTATGGGAGAGCCATCGAGTCTTGAAGAAGTATTCTCCAAGCACAGGGCTTTTGTCAATGCTGCAAGGGTCCATGCCATCAGTCAGCCTGCAACTGTTGACTCAAGAGTACTTGCTCTAGACAAAGTCTAATATCTGTGCCATGTTACCTGATTATAAAAGCCACGCATGCAATAAACTGTTTCATGTTTATAAAGCAAGTAACTTTAACTTGGACAGTGATCTACCTGACAAGGAATGATATTCCAGTGTTATTTTGTAATTTTGGCTGACCAATTGTATAGTGGAATGATTATAGTTATGGTAAGCAAAGTGAAAATAATTGATGCTATCATAAAACGAGATTTGCATTAGTCACGTGTAAACAAAGAGTAAACACAAGACTTCTAACACACCTGTGGGTGTTGGTTAACATTGTGAACACACTGTAGTGAAAGTAATTCAGTTAGTTGTTGTTGAGCCACCATCTTGTCCCACAAGCACATTGGTATATTCTCCCACCATATAAACGTAGACAACGCACATCCAATAAAGCAATCATCATGCCATCTTTCTTGGAGAACTAGGAGGACAAAGCACTGCAATACAGCAAATGCTGCAGGATGGAGTCACATAGCCTTCAAAAGATCTTGATCATCTCCAGTAGTAATTGTTAGAAAGAAAGACGGTAAGCCAAGACTCTACCCTCAAGTAGATTACCATCAAATTAGTTTTTAAATCCACATCACGCATAAAAAAAATACCCTACTAAAGATCTTCTCCCCATTCCTCATTGTTCCTGGCTTGTCTATCTTTACACGTGTGGAGACTGCAAGGTCCTCCTATATTGGCAAAACCAAACGCCATTTAAAAGTCAGAGCCTACGAAAATATGGTAATTTCCATCAAAACGCAAAAAA